GTGGTATTGGTCGTGGTGGCGTTCCTGGTGTTGGTGGTCGAGGTGTTGGTAGTGGTCATGTTGACGGTGGTGGTGGTGGGTGTCGAGGTGGTGGTGCTCGTGGTGGTAGCGGCGGGGTCGGCGGCGGCGGTGGCTCTGATGATGGTGGGAAGTGGGTTCAAGTGTATGTTTAGTGGTCTCTTGGTGCTTTTGTGGGTCGGCTGGGAGTGGTAGGTGAGTTGGTTGGGTCGTTAGTGGGTGAGGCAGTGTTGGGTGGATCGGTGATGGTTGGGGCCGTGGTGAGTCAGTGGTAATGTGTCGGTGTTGGACATGGGGATGGTGCTTGTGTCGTTGGGGTTGGTCGGATGTGCGTGGATGTAGATCTTAATGGGATGGTTGTTAGTGTGAATTAAGTTGGTGAGAGGTGTTTGATGTGAGGTGGTGGGCAGTTGGTAGAGGGTGGGTAGATAGTTACTGTGTTGATGGTGGGTGAATCGTCTTCTGTGGGTAGTTCGGTGTTCAGAGGGTGGTCTGTAGTTGGTTTGTCGGTGGTGGGTGGATGGTATTTGTATTTTCTGAATGGTTTTTATAATACACAGACCTGGAGGCCTCTGTATTGGTATTATAAGAGGCATGTATGGTAGTTCTAAATTGGCTTTATGTTAGGTTTGGATGTCATTAAATGGTCATTACAACAGGCAGGCCTGGAGGCCCGTACACAAGTATGAAATGCCAATCACAACAGGGATATCATAGTTGTAATGTAACTATAGACGAATCCTTTCATTTACCCTAGATCTAGCTACCGTTGGGAAGCTTATTCATCTCTAGGAAAAATGTCTTCAGTTATGGCAATCTACCCCTGTGAACACAGAGCTTCAGCAAGAAGACTTTCAGCATTACATTAAAACGAGAGTAACGAAACAAGTTCAGTCTTTGATTAACTTGAATTGTCTATGTATGGTGGAAATCTACAGATTGCATATTAAGCAATCAGCCCCACTGGGAGGTTGCTGGTCCTGCCCTGAGTTGGGAGAATCGAGTCTACAACCCCCACTGTATTTCTTAAAGATCCATTTTAATAGCGTGTCTTCCTTTCAGGTATATGGATTCGAATTTTGTACATAATTCTCATCTATCCTACATATGCTATAAACTCAACTCATGTCATCCCCACTGATTTTATCGTCTTAATAATAGTCTGTGCAAGTCCATGATCAGAATCTGAGGTGCTAATTAAAATGACATAAACCAATGAAATTATAAACAAAGTCCGTGGAATAGAGTTCTTTTTTGCTCAGTTAGCTAGTCAATAAATTTTCTGTTCAGTATGGAACATAGAGGTTCGTTAACGAGTTCACAAGAACCTGCCACCTGTTCCTACGCCAGATTAATCGAATCCACATCCCGCAATGCATTGACCTATAATCCATTTTAATATTATCCTTCCATCTAAGCCCAGGTCTTCTGAGTGGTCTCTTTCCTTCAGGCTCATTAACTAAAATTTTGTAGTGCACATTTCTCATCTATGGAGCTCGTCACAAAATCAGAAACAACAACCAGAAAAGTTTTGTCACAAAATACAGACGCTAGCATAATTACTTGATAAGACGTACCTCAGCCTCTTCCTACACTTTAAAAATGTATCGCCTTCAATCGTACTTTCAACCCCACCTTTCCCCTACCTATTTGCAATGATGACAGGTTGGGTCACGTAAAGAGAAGCAGAACCTATTGTAAGCACAACTAACACGGAGACACCAATCAATACGTCCTTGCTGAGGCAATCCACCTGTTTGTTCCACGACATTTCTCCCAGTCGATGGTAAGCGGCCTTACCTGAAGGTTGTGATGGGGACAGGAAGCAGCCGCAATCAGGTGACAATCGAGACATTGCTTAGACCAGCCCCTGCAGACGATGATTCTTCGGATGTGGTCGTCACGAGGAAGAGACACCCGCCAATACGACAACCAACCACCGAGAAAACTCTTAAGGAGGCTGGAGCAGAAATGGGAAAACTCCGCCAGGACTTGCATGACGTTACTAGTATCCACAACGACGATGAACTTGAAGATATTCAGGACCTTGAACAGACTTTTGATTCCCTTGGTATTCCTTCAAGTTCTAATTTTATCAGTGATCAAGTTGATCTTAAAATTCCCGACAAACCTTCACACGAACGTGACCTCTCACTGCTGAAAACAAAATGGACTGATTTTGAAGTTGGTGTTCCCGTTTTGCAAAATTCGCCTGAAAGAGATAATTGTACTGAAAACACTGCAACGACCTTTGGGTGGGGCAGTATTAGATCCTCTTCCGGTCCCCAGACACGTTTCGATATTCCACCGTCAGCATTACTAAATAACAACAATAATAACACAAAATCAGCGCCTATGAAGTTCACATGGAGCCCGCCAGAACCCATGAAATCTCCAGACGAATGGATTTATCAGAAGGTGAGACAATGTTTATATATACGCTTTATAATATAACACGAATGTATTAAATTTAAAAAGACTGGGGCAGAATAAATTACGGCTACCCACCTTAATGGACCTTACAAAATTGTTGAGTGAACTATTTCATTAGGCAAATTATTTAATCTTCGCGGTATTAATTGCATAGGACGGAGGCTTGGTGGGCCCCTGAGCCGGTGTGGACGTTGTGGCGATAAACAATTTCTAACATGCCGGGAATCGGACGCTGGTCGTCCAGCCCGTAACATAGCCACTATACTAAGCTATCCCAGCTCTTAAAATTTCTTAAATCAATTAAAGTATAATATATATCAAAACTAAGGGGTCTTGTTCGTGTATGTATTTATGTGTGTAGTGTTGACATGTATAGAAAAGGCCATGCGATGTGCGATCCACTGTCCAAGCAGTCCTATCAAATGTCTAAATATTCACCCTTTCATAAGTAATTCTCAATCGTAACAGGCCAGAGTACCTACACTGTGACAACCGAATTCTCATTAGTCTGCAACACATCAAAATTAAGGACACAACATATCGATTTCTAAAGGTCTGTGACAATGGCTAATTCATGACAAAATCAGTATCTTTGACAATGTATACTGCCTGAGGTATATTTGAGAAACCCGACGTTTCGAGAGCTGGATCTACTCCCGTCTTCAGGTAATTGATTGATATTATGCTGACACCTATAAGGTACAGTGGTTAGGTTAGGATTCCTACGGTTTCAATTTCGAACCCGACCGTTACTGATACAAAAGAAAATGTCAGTATGACAACCAATCAACTGAAGACGTTAGCAGAGCCAACGTCGCGTTTCTCAAATATATATATATATATTTTCTGTAGTACCCTGAAAAAAGTCATGAACTTGATATTACAGGTTATCTGACTTTCGTGTTGCATAAGTACGTCACAACCTTTGAGCGGAGTAAACTATCATGAAATGTTTAAGCTTAAGGGCTGCACGCATGCACCCTCTTCATATATTCACACGCTACTCGTAGATCAATACAGCATAATCGATATTCTTAAAATGTTACCCGTTAAAAATATATCCTCTTTAATAATGTAACAATACAGTACTTAAGCCGTTACCCAAAACAGCCTGCCTAATGTATCCTGTACAATGTAAAATGTTATTAGCTACGTTCAGTGTACATATTTTAAAATAGCACGAAATATTATAGTGTTTCTCAGGTCACGTGAAAAAACTTTCCCAACTTCGTATAATATAAAACGTCATCCAATAGGGTAAATTTGCTTCGGAAGGATGAGAAAGGAAATAAGTGTTGCCTATATTAAGACACTAATTGAATTTCTAAAAACTTCTGTCAGTATAGCTAGTCAGGCCGAGAATCGAACCAGGACCGGCGATATTATAGTTGTAACGCAGTTTCGACTTGGATGTGGGTGTCGACGTATGGTGTCCAACCCAGAAGACCACCA